ACCGCTCTTTTTCCTTTTTTTTCTTGTTTTTTTTTTCTTGTTTGCACTCTCGTTCGTACGCCCAACGATAGGGAAAAATTGCAACTCACCTTCAAAATTTTTCTCCGATGACTACGTTGTTACTTTACATTCAATTCCCTCTTTTTCCATCCTTCCTTCGATTTTTATAACGATTTATCGAAAATTTTGTAGTAAAAGTACCAGTAAAGAATAGCGAATGTCAGTAGCGAATGTTAGCATTCGATCATTACGCATGGCAATTACAAGGGTAAAAATAAGCTTCTATAATATAAAAAACATCAACTTGCATTACCGCGTTCGCGACTGCTTATGAGCCAAAAAACATTGGATTCTCGAAGTCTTAAATCACTCGAGTGCCGAAGCTCATGAGGCCGAAGATGTAAAAAGTACAGTTAGACATTCTCGGATGTAAGGTGAGGCAGCGCTCGTGAAATATACTTAAAACAACACTGTTACCATAAGAACAAATACTCAATCCTCTCATTAGGTATTTGTCCAGCGGGCAAAGCCCAGCCTCGTGCCATCCGACCAAGAATTCCACTAAAAAAGCCACTTGCGAGCGCGCCTAACGAACCAATGCTTTGGATCGCGGCGCATCTATAATCAGCGCACCGGTATAAACGGGCCGTAAAGATCGTGTGGATCGTAAACGGCGAACGGCGCTATCCCCGTCATCGGGTGGCCGTAGCTCGCGAGCATCCATTTTCCAGGAGAGGCGTGCGTTAACGGTGCGCGCGTAACGGGTGCGTGTCGTACGCGATAACGAGGACCATCGCCGAGCGATAAAGATGTTCGAGAGCGTTTGGGGGCATTTTCGCGGGACACTCGGTGCACGGTTAACGAGGGAGACAGCTGCTCGACGCGGCCATCGCCGTCAATTATTGTAGAGGTGGTGCTCGGGACTGATTGCCGAGGGGCGATGAAGAGGAGGAGGAGGAGGAGAAGACGAGGTGAGAGATGCTGGAAAGCGACAGCAGCCCCATGTGCGTTGGAGCAATTTTATTAGTCGGACGGGAAAATTCTTTGTCTTTGATTTTAAGGCCGCGGTTGCGACGGGTCCGGGCTCACCGCTATAAATGTAAAATTGCTATTTTCACGTGAAAGGGATGTGAGAACGAGTGATAGAGAGAGAGAGAGAGAGAGAGAGAGAGAGAGAGCAAAGAGAGTCGGGCCGGGAAATTACGAGCTCCGCGGGAATGCACACCTTTAAGGCTTTTACCCCACGCCTCGGCGCGCTTCTTTTTCTCTCGGCTACTCGTGTATCGCGGATGCTGACTTTTATTTCATTTGCTTTATTGGATGGTGCTGTGCTGGAAGTCCAGGGCTAACTTCTTACGGAGACGGGCAAATTGGCGATGTGCCGTGCGTTCGGTTGAAATGCTAGAAAAACAATGTATAATTATTACCCTGATTTCGCCCAGCTCGTCTTATACATACAAATGGTACGTATTACCAGCAACTAGTGCATATTATTATTAGGTCGTATTAAAGATTTTATCCCGATCTAATTATATGAATTATTCGTACTTGTTATTACAGCAGCTCGACTGGTAATAGCTCACTTCCTGTCGGGAAAATGGTTCCTCTTACCACCACTCAGTCCCGTAACTTATGTTTTCATCGGCTCTATTTAGTCTTTTCTAATAATTAGCATGCTTACCGAGATCCACTCCCCGAGTAATTAATTGCGTTTCGAGAACTGTAAGGACGAATT